GACTTTCTTGATATTGTAGATTTGGATGCTTTTCTGTCATTTGGTACATGGTCCTATATCTATATCTATGCTTGAGATCAGTGGCAGTATTTCTTTCCTATTTTCAAATTTACCTGTCTCGGTATCATGATCTAGTGTGTACTTGACAGTGTTTGGGGAGTATTTCAAGTCTACAGCAATTTGTCGGAGAGTCCAACCAGCATCATGTAAAGCTTTTATACAAACTCTCTGCTCTATTGACAATTCTCTATGCTTTTTGGACCATGGCATGACAAGAAAACTTAATATATAGTATTAAACACTGTTTTTATGAAGGTTTATTTGTGGAGTGCTATTAAATTGATATCTTCTACCATATACCGATACCATATGCTAGCTCCTTTCTATATAGTTAAGACACTGCATGGGGTACCATGACAGTTATTTCAGACCCGAAATCTGATCAGTATGTTCATTCAAGCAGAACTCTTATGACACATGCCTTTGGTACAAGTATATGGGAATTCTAAAGAATGATAAGTATTTTCACCCTGGCTCATTCAATTGTCAACAGGGATCAGTGAAGCATTACCATAGTGTTGAAATTTACATTCTGTAATGGCATTGAAGAATTAGCTCCATAAAATGGAAAGAATGACAAAATATTCTCTTCTCCTAACACTTTTACACAGTACTGTGTGTGTGTGTATATATATATGACTACAGTACTATTAACCTCATCGCAATGGGTCACGTGGCAAAGGCCATGTCATTGCGTTTGTTGACTTGCATTCAAAATTTTATTGAACTACTATTTTATGAATTTATGTCAATAAGTTTGGTATCAAATTGTAGATTATAATTCAAATTTTAGTATTATATGTTAGTTAATTTCTTAATTTAAAAGTAAATATTAAAAAAAACAGCTAAACATTGATTCTGTGTGGCATGCTGGTGTGTTGAATGTAGCACTGGTTCAAATTAGATGTTTGTGATGTCAAAATACAAAATATACAGTTTTGTACGAATTAGGAACTCAAACTACTGATATTGAAAAGCTAGAATATAAAATAAGAACCTCATATATTTTCTATTTGCTAAGATATCGC